GTTTTAGAGATCAATCATAGTGTGATCGCATGACTTATAAGGACTTATTTAATAAAACTTCAAACACCTTGTGGATTGACTATGAGTTGACTTCATAACTCTTAGGGAATATGGATGTTTACATGCATTTAAAGGCCAACTTTATGGTGATCTTGTAACTCTTAAGGACTGATTTTAAGGATCTCTATTTTTACGATTAACTCTAGGATAACCTTATAGCTCATTTAAGACTAACCTTGAGGGATATCATAACCTTTTAAGGTGGAACTTGAGAGAATTAATGACCTTTAAGTATAAATGTTGAAGAATCTCATAACCATAGGGAACTAACCTAAAGGAATTTATATTCTTTATGAAGTAACACCAAATAAATTAGAACCTTGGCAATCAACCTTGAGGAACCTAAAAACCCTCAAAAAACCTTGGATAACTAACCTTTAAGGAGCTTGCAAAAACCTTAAGGATAAACATTTTAGGGACTTCAAAACTTTCGGGGATTAAACCAAATAGAACTCACAACCCATAGGGACAACCCATAATAACGTAACAAACTTAGGGAACCAAACTCTACAAACTTTATAACCTTTAGAAAGACTTAAGGGACCTTACAACCCTGAAGAATTAATATTTAGGGACCTCATAATATATGGAGATTGATGCCAAGAAACATTATAACTTAAAGGGGTTAACCTTTAGGCTTGGGACAACATAAAAAGACCTCATAACCTTTAGGGACTAACCATAAAGGTGGAAATAACCTTTTAGAATCAACATAAGGGACCTCACCAATCTTAAGGAATCGACCTCTAAGGATCTTGTAACCATTAAGAACTAATCCTATAGACCTTATAACCCTTATGGATCAACATTAATGGACTTCATAACCCTTGGGTATCAAGCAACCTTAAAGCTTTAGGGAACACCCTTAAAGGTATCAAGCAACCTTAAAGCAACCTTAAAGCTTTAGGGAACACCCTTAATATGTGTTGCTCATATTAGGTTGACTCAATGCATTGCTTCTGCTCTGTGGAATCCCCTGGTATGTGGCTGGAAAGTATTGTGAGTGTGTGTGTCCTTTTGTGTGTTTATTTGCATATGCATCTAATTTTGGCTCTAGATTTTTCGGCTTAGTTACAGTTATTAGTTGTCATACCTTCAGGTTTTTCTTTTTATTTGGTGGCTGTGTTTTTGTTGTCAAATTCAGATAGTTCCATTTTTACCGTCTATTGTTAATTAGTGTGATTCCTATAATGTTGTAAGATTATTGTTATTATTATTTGGTAGTTGATGATCGTTCCCTGCTTGCATTTCTAGTTAAATTTTGGGACCATATGTTGGAAGGGACTTGCTATTCCTCTCCTTATGCTTCTTCCATGTCATATCATCAGCATTGTGTTCAAGCAATCATACTTAATTGTGGTGTCTGATTTGAAAAATCAAGGTGTTATTATCTGAGATATTTTGGATATGTTTCTTTTTCTGCAGATTGGAGTATCCAGTGGTTTGGCAGAGGCTGCTCATGTGGTTAGAGATACCGATCTCTCACCTGCCCAACCATTACAGTCGAATCAGCCTTCTGGCAATCTTGGAGTTATTGGTCGTAGAGTGTTTCTGACCTTTGGCGCAATTGGTGATAGTATCAGTGGATTGACTATTAATTCTGGGGGAATGCATGATCAGCTGTACAATTTGCAGATGCTTGAAGCTGCACATTATAAACTTCCTCAGCCCAAAGACTCTGAGCGTCCCAGAAATTATGTGCCAGTACGGAATGCCCAACTCTATTTGTTTTCTTGCTCCTGTAACTCTGTCTAATTCTTAACAGGTTAAATTGATAAATAATATCATTCAAATTTTTGCCTGCAGAGGCACCCTGCTGTAACACCTCCTAGCTATCCTCAAGTTCAGGCACCTATTGTTAATAATCCTGTACTTTGGGAAAGATTTGGTAGCGACGCTTATGGCACTGATACACTGTTCTTTGCATTTTACTATCAACAGGTAATTGTGTATAATCCTTGTACACATCATGCAACCTTTGTTGATTAGATTTTCATTTAGTATCAGCAGGTTATTAGCATGTATATTCCTATTATGCTTCCAACATAGTTTCTTCTTTGTTAACTTGTTATTTCTTCAGAATACTTATCAACAATATTTCGCTGCAAAAGAGCTGAAGAAGCAATCTTGGAGATACCATAGAAAGTATAACACATGGTTTCAGCGGCACGAAGAGCCAAAGGTAGCTACTGATGAATATGAACAGGGGACTTATGTGTACTTTGATTTCCATATTGCTAATGAAGATGGCCAACACGGATGGTAAGGAATTTTATTCTACTTTCTGGTTAAGCTTTTTCATCTTTCTTTTTTCCAGCCATACGTAATAATAATGTACTAATTTTATGATTTCAATTACTTTGTCTGGGTGCTCAATACGTACGTATATACTTTTTCCCCCCAATTTTCTTGGTTCTCTTTCAATTTACACAAAACTCCTAGGGATGTGAATATGGGTTAGCTTTTGATCTCCAACCATCAAATGTATCTCATTATCCTGTTGTAATTTTATTGAAAAAGAATATGCAAGGTATTATTGGCTCATGTTAATTGATAAACAATTTAGAGAAGCCAACAATGGTATGAAATGATTGTTGATTTTTGTTATTTTCATATGTCAAGCTTTCTGAACAATGAACTGGATGTGTCATCATGTCTAAAGATACAGTCCACTTGAAACACTTATGGCAATTTATTTTTTTGGTTGTTCTTTTTCCTTTGGGAAATGTATTTATTTGGAACCTCTGTAAGGTTGGGATAAGGAGGAAGGTACTTGCTACAGTTACTGCATATAACTCAACGACCAGGAAAGGGGTAGTAACATTTTAGTATGTTGTATTTCAATTTTATAATCATCCCGACTGAGATGTTTTTATTTGGTAATGACAGAGTGAGTATTATTTAATGCAAGTCCTTTGATTTCCATGTCTGAGGAATATAAACCTGTCACTGTTGTAGTAGATTCCTCTTTGTCAGTTTGTTATCCTTCATTTGCTTTGAGAGTATGCATATGATGATCTATTATCTTGATATCCAGGTGTCAAAGGATCAAGACTGAGTTCACCTTTGAGTACAATTATCTTGAAGATGATCTCATTGTATAGAGGGTGTGCAGAAGTTGCTATGGCATTGATCCTGTGATTTCACCTCCTGGTTTGTAGAGCTACATTTATCCTTGGTAGTTTTCTGAAGTTTCTTCTTAGTGTATGTCCATCCTGATTTGCCCTTGTGATCTTTAGTAATTTTTAAGTGGAAGAGCATTATACTTTTGGGAAGATATTATGGCAGTTTATTACTGAAGAGGAAGTGGAATAGGTGGTTTCAATGGCCCTCCAATGTTGTCACCTGAAATTTTATTGTTTTTGTTACTCAAAAATTGAGATTGTAGTGTAAACATGTTATTCTCCTTGGACTTCTTATTTTTTAATTTATATGTTTTAGGAGGCTGACTGAAATTCTCAATTGGCACCTAGGGACCTTCTAATCAGTTTTCCCGCCTGATTATTTGTTTGATGGCACCTTCCATGACTGCTCTCTTTTTCCTGGGTGTTCTGGTTCGGAGTATAATTATCGTAGATTAGCAAACACATTCTTATTGTCTGTTTCCTCTTTAATTTTAGGAGCTATGTTGCTCCAGTAAACTGTTTCTAATTTTCCAGTTCTAAGAAAATCAGAAAATGGACTAGGTTTGGTGTATGAAAAAGTTTTTCTAATTTATTTTCAATATTCATAGACTCTTTTACACGGCAAACATTATCGTTCCCAAGATGAACAGTTGTTTAGTTATTGGTCTTCCTGATGTTATTCAATCTGTGTAAAACATCTTTTATTGTTTGGCCTCTTTTCATGCAGACATTAGATTGCGACCGGATTGGATACTATAATCGCTACGTTAATGTTGTGTATCTGGTAGCAGTGATGAGGATATGAGGTATAAATATAAATATAAATCCTTCATACTCCATGCTTTCTGTATTGAATTGCTTAATTGTAAAGGACATTTTGGTTTGAAAAAATCAAAGAAACATTTTGAATGCTAAGGAGCATTATGTTTGTTAAGATATAAAGAGCGTTTTCAATGCTTTCAAGAGCTTCCTCTTTTGACGAGGCAACCTCCGAGCAAAACGCTTTTGTGATTTTATTAAAAAATAATAATGAACGGGATTGGCTTTAATTGGACAGCATTGTGTTTTATTATTTATTAGATTAGTATGTTTGTTTTCTGGGGAAAGAAAATGCGAACAAGAAATTGAATAAAATGATTAGAGGATGTTCCCAACCGAATGGTCAAACTAGGAGATATTGATGTTGGGGAATTGGCAAAACAAGCAAAGAAAAAGGATTATTTTCTGTGATTTTAATTCTCAAATATTTACGTCTTCTTGTTTGAAAACCACGTATAAAAGTCGTGCTTCTTTGTTTGCTTTTTCTTCTTAACTTTTCAAGCTGGAAACAAGTCACAAAAAAATTGGTCAGTAGTTCCCTCCTGTTTCCATCTGAAAGTGCCAAAAATCATTTCTTTGATTGCTCAAAAAGTTTTTAGGAGCCAAACGCATTTTCTTATTTCTGCTGCTAAAGATGAATGAAAAAATTATTTATTATTTTCAAGTGTAAAATTCTTGCAGACTGTTACTTTTCATTATTTTTCTCTTTTTATTATGCCGAGTACGGATTTCTAATTGAATCTCATATTCTCTTTCAAAAATTTCATGTGACCGAAAGGTAAAACAAGGGTAGAATCGACATGTAAGAGTCAAAGACTTTGACGTGGTTTTTGTTATGATTTACAAGGCTTCTCTACATTCTTCCTTCTCCTTCTATCTTATTTATCACTCCATATAAATAATAATAATAATTTTGATTCAAAATTAAAATTTTTGCTTCAGAAACTTGTGTCTACTATTTCCTCCTCAGTTCCATATTCCCTTTTACATGATTGATATTTTTTACTTTTTGTCCATTAAATTATTACTTCCCTTGTAATTTTTTTTTTAATCTTTTTATATATTAAATTTCAACTTACTTTTTCCCTTTTTTTTTTTTCATTGTTAAATGTATGTCCTGGTAATATAATATTAAACCTATTGATCAAAAATAAAAACTAGGACGTGTATATAATATGAATAATCGTTCTATTGAATATGGTATTAATTATAAAATGTAAATAAATAACACTGTTGTAAACTATATATGCAACTACAGATGCGAATGTTGCAATAAAAAATATATTTTTTAAATTTTAATATGAAATGATAGAAAAGTTAAATTTAAAAAATAAAATAAAATATTATTATGATGTTGCTGATATTTGATCTTCATGTGATATTGAACATTCTCATATTAGTTTTTAATTATCTTTACTTGATCAATAACTTAAATACACTTCACACGTAAAATTATTACTGATATATAAAATAAAATACATAAATAAAAATTAGCATCGATCTTGCAAAAATACATAAGAGAAAAACTGTACAAAAAACAAATTGAAGCACTTCCAAAAATTTTATATGTCCCAACCAACGAAAAAATATTTGATAAAATCAGAATATATTTTAGGTACTAATTTAATTTGCCAAAGTCATATATAATAATAAAAAAATTCGACTTTTATATCACAAATTTATTAAATGCAATTTAACAAATCAGGTTTGATTTGTCATTAGAAGATTAATTAATCTGAACATCTAACCAAAATAACTCAATTATGGTCAAACAATTTGACAAGTTGTGTACGCATGCTCCTTCTGGATTTTTTTTTTTCTTTTTCTAGCAAATATTATTGTACATACAAATTATCATCAATACGTATACATATATATATATATATATGACAGGTGGCATCATGAATCACATTACCAACTTCCACCAAACACCCATAAAAAGGACTTTTCCTTTTGAAAAATACTAAACTTATAAAATATTTATATATATATATAGTAAAGAAAATTGACACAAATTTTTGTACCTTTTTTTAGAAAGAAAAATTAAAAAAAAAGTGGATAACTATAACTTATACATTTTTCAGTGACCATTCAAAAGCAACATGTCCCATTCACTAAACATGTATAATAAATACCATCCCACCAAAAAAAAAAAAAAAAAACATGTATAAATATTAAATCCCATTTAATAATTGCATATACTAGTTAAATAAATTTTTATAACAATATTTTCATGAATATTACAATTAAAAATTTAAAGTTGATTTAATTCAAAGGCTTAACTTGTCAAACAAAAATATAATAATCTTACATTTTAACCGATTAACTCATTTTTAACATGGAATTAATCTTTAATTTTTAATTTTTTTATTAATCCTCTTTTAAATATTTTTTATTAGCTCAAACTCAAATTCAATTATAATCCCAACAGTTTTATCGGGAAAAAAAAATTAGACGTGTTATTTTTTTATCGATTTTAAAATATAGGTAAGATATTTTATGTTATTTAGAAAAAATACAATTTATTATTTATGATTGATTTTATTTTATTTTATAAATATTGTGATTATTTTTTTTGCAATTCACATAAAAATCTTAGGTTTTTAGAGTTATTTGCACATATTTAGAGTTCAAAAATAGAAATACCTAAAAATTTAAGGCTAAGTAAATCATAACTAGAAGAATATATTTTCATATATATATATATATATATATAACAACAAGGGCTTTAAAAATTACTCTATTACAAAAAAAAAAAAAGGAACAGAATTTAAATTGCAATAAAATTAAATTACAAAGGGTAACAATGTAAATTGTCATTTAGATAATAAAGTTGGCCATTTAATTGAACAAAAAAATAATTTTAAATGGGTATTAATTATTTTGTAGATAATTAATAGAAGATGCTTGAAAGTCACAAAGAGACAAACATGAGAACCCAAAAGAAGATTTAGGGATCCAATTTGAAATTAACACAAGAATTTGATTTAGAGGATGTGCACACTATCAAGACAAATAATCTTATCATCTTTTTTTTTTTTATTGGTTGAATTATTATATAGAAAAAAATTATAAACTATATGACTTCTCTGGTCGATTACGGAGATTTTAGTTTTTTTTATAAAAATATAAAAAAAAATAAATATTGAATGATGTTTATTTATTTATAATATTTAATTTAATAAAATTAAAATTTTAATTTATTGATAAAATTATAACAATTAACTTGATTTAAATTTTAATAGATTTATCCTTTTTTTTAAATGAAAAATATTATTTAATGAATAAGTTTTTAAATTAAATAATTATAACGAATTTAAAAAGGATTTTTAAAAAAATAAATAAATATAAATTAAACGTTTAAAATATATAAAAATATTTAAAATTTTAAAACTTTATGTGGCGTCACAGTCTCCAAGAACAAATCCAACTCTGAATAAATTGGGGAACAGAGAAACGAAATTGCTTTTCCCAATCTCGTAAATGGTCAGTTCATCCAACGGCTCTCGTTAGATCTGGCGGCCACCGACGCACGACATGAAACGTGGTTACTGCATTTTATTTGGAAAAATATATATATACAAAAAGACAATTTTACCCTTAACGTGCTTTTTAGCGTTGCCCAATCCCAATCGTGCTTTGGGCAACGTGGGGGACGTCGGCCAGACCGTGGATGGAGTGGCCACGTCATCGCTCTCCAAAGAAGTGGGACCATCTTTCCAAATCCAACTCCGTCATCAAACGGTGTCGTTTTCCCTGATTGATTTTCTTCATTTACAAGCAACTAAACTATTTTATTTTTATTGAAAAAGCGGATAATATTATTTATCAATTAATTAATTATAAAAAGGGAATGGTTTTCTCTTCAAGTTTTTCACTTTCCAAATCAGATAGAGAGAGAGAAAATAGGATCCCTTCAGAACACAACTGTCTCTTTCTCTTTTCACATTCATATATACATACACATATATATATATATATGCACACAATATCTGAGATTTGTATTGGTAAAAAAGCTTTTTATTAAGTTGAAAAGTCTTGATACTTGCAAGAAATCTAGCCGTTATAAGAAGAGCCTCTTCTTTCTTTCATGTGACTGAACAATTTTTGGTACTCTTTTCCGCCAAAGTTTTTTCTTTTATTTATTCTTTTTTCAGTGTGCGTGTGGGGGATCTTTTAAAATAATTTTTTGTCACTTTTGATCAATCAGGAAGTAATCAAGGAATATTTCCCTAAAATCTTTCATGGGTAACGTCAATTCTTCTTCCTATCTCCTTAAAATCCATTACTCTTCTTGAATTTTTTCCATTTTTGTTCTTCCCATCGTGACTTCTCTTCCTTTTCATCGGCCTTTCTCTTCCTCTTTTTGCTCTGTTTTCGGGATAATCTTTCTGGGTTCCTTTCACTTTTTCCTTTTTTGATTTTTTTTTGAATAAACATCTGAGGAAACCAATCGATACCCATAAGATCTTTGGTTTTGATTTTGTTTAAACCAAAGAAACTGCTGTTGTTTCTCTGTTTTTTTTTTTTTTTATTATTGTTTTCTGGGTTTCTGTTCTCCTGTTTCTTTGTTTTTCTTCTCCTCTACTGAGTTACAGATATATCTGTAACTTTTTATTGTTCGTTTCCTGATTTTTCTTCAATATTTGTTTCTGGTTATTTATTCCATATATATACACACATACACACATATATTCATGTATTGGATCCATAGAAAAATTATGTATTAGAGTATTTTTTTTCCTCTCTCTTTCACGAACTTAATTTTCGCGGTACTGGCAAAGAATTGCATGATTCTCGCTGATTTCTCGTAACCCACCGCCAAAAGCCGTTTATTTTTTTTTTTCTCTTTTTCTGGTTTAATCATTGAGAATCAACAAAACTGAAAATCCACGACTCTCCACCACGTCTTTCTTTTATATACTACTCATTTTACCTTTCCGGGAAAATCTTTCCTGCGAAACAAAGGGGAAAATATGAAAACGACAAGGGGCATTTCATGTTTCTTCAACTGGGTCTGGTTGGTGGCTCTTCTGGGTTACTCTTGTTGCCTTGTTGATTGCCTAAACCTCGGTGTGAACTGGGGCACAATGGCGACGCACAAACTGCCGCCGTCTACTGTGGTGCAGATGTTGAAGGACAATGGGATAAAAAAGGTGAAGCTTTTTGATGCTGATGAAAGCACCATGAGCGCTCTTGCTGGTTCGGATATTGAGGTCATGGTCGCTATCCCCAATGATCAGCTCAAGGTGATGAACAACTTTAACCGAGCCAAGGAGTGGGTCCGCAGAAATGTCACTCGCTACAACTTCAATGGTGGAGTTCTTATTAAGTAAGTTCTGGGTTCTTTTTTCTCTTTATAAGTGTTCAGAAAGAGAATTTACGATCTGAGCCTTGCCTTTGCATTTCTTTTTTTCTCTTTATAACTGTTTAAAAGCCGCATTTAGGATCTGGGTTTTGCTTGTTTCTAGTTTAGTTTGCTTCTTGTAGAAACTTCAAGGGAGCACTTGAAGTAGATTTTCTCTTATGGTTGATCAAAATTTCTCTTGAAGAGTTAGAATTTGACAATAAGTCATGACTTGATATTGTTTTCAACTTATTGGGTGCCATGTGATTACTCTGATTGAACGTGAAGTGAAAATTTCCTTTTTCTTTCTTGGGTGTTGCTTTGAGAAGCTGTTGCCATGATTTGAATCAGTCATCATTACTTATATTCTACTTTCCTGGCATGTATGAAAAACTTGGATGAACTTTGATCAGACTTTTGATGTGTTGACATTGCCAATTATGGTTTTATATTGAATTGAACATGGTTTCTCGCAGGCCAAGAAAATTGGTTATGCGGTGGGTATAGAAGAGTTGCTAGTATAGAAAAATCTGATATTCTACTGCTTTCCATCAATTCTTTTTCTTTATTTTTAGCTTTGTGGTTAAATCTTCGACTTTTAGCACCAGTTTCTCATCTTCCACGTTACACACTTGTCTAACTTCATGGAATATTAATGGTAGAGCACTTTACAACAATCATATAAATCTATGCATGTGTGTATGTGCATATGCATTTAATAAGAAGTCAGTTTGTTTATTAGTTGACTTAGCTGTTGATCTACTATGAGATGGCATGAAAGGCTTGTTTATTTGTAAAGTTAACTGTGAATTTCACAACTTTCGACAATACTGGTTTTGTTTCGAATCCGAGCTCCCATTTTCTATTTTGTAGAACATAATGTTTGCTGGGTATCGTTGTCATATTGATTCTTGATCTCAAAATCAACAAAAAATAATTAAGATTCTTGTTATTGGTGCTTTCTAAGTGAATATATTTTGCTGCAAAGCAGAAATGAATGAACAAGAGGGTGAGATACTTTTTGTTTTTGGCCTTTTGGAGACATTGAATTGTCGATAATATCAATTCGTAAATATTGAATTTTAGGATTGAATGTATGTAGTGTAACCAT